CAATTCATGAAAAGAGAGCTAAATAGGTTGAAAGCCTAACAGCATACCTCCAGGAATGAGCCCTATTGGAAAAGGTAGATGCCTAATAGCTAGCCAATAAAACAAAGAGCTTAATGGGCTATATCAAATGCCTAATAGCTCAATGCCAAAAAGAAGATATACCGAAAAAGATAAATGCCTAATAGCTTGCCTTCAAAGTAGAACTCCTAAAACCAGTGTTTTAAAACCCGGCCCGGCGGGTTGACCCGGTGAACCGGTCCCCTAACCGGGCTGATTTTGTAATTGGACCATTTGAGCAAAGAACCCAGAATAAAACCGGTGAACCGGTCAAAAAATCGGTAACCCGTGAAAACCGGACCGGGTTTACAAAATCGCCCGGTTTTGTTCCTTTAGTATAAATATGTTTTTTTTTTACATTTTTGTGTCTTTTTCTTTTCCCCTTCTGTTTTGCCCTAAATCCTAAATCATTCGTTCAGTGTTTGTTAACTCAAAAATTAAGTGAATACAATTAAGTGAGTCAAGTTTGAGAGTGGAGGCTGGGCTGTTAATTGAATGCATTGGTTTGTTAATTAAATGCAATTAAGTGATTTAGGCTTGATAACTTTGTTTGATTTAATATATATTAAACATGTTATTTTTATAACTATTTTAATTTTTTAGTCTATTTATCATCATTAATAATTATTTTTTATTTTTTTATTATATCACCGGTTCGACCAGTGACCCAGTGGTTGAACCAGAAATTCATTGACCCGGTCCCTTCTCCCGGTTGGTGTCCGGGCCGGATTTTAAAACTATGCCTAAAACACATTGGCATCAATATAGAAGGCAATGGCTCATGTGCCACACGCGCTGAGGTACACTGGGGGGCTACTGATGAGAGAAAAATTGACCTAGGGTGGAAAGCTCATTTGCCTATTTTTAGCCCAGCCCATCTCGTAAAAGAGCCTTAGTTCAAGTCAAAGAAGGATGACAAAATGCACCACGTGGGATAAATCCAATCCTTTACATAAGGAGAAGGTGACTACCAAAGATAAGACTCATTCAAATGGTTTGCAATCTAATCCTAACTGAATTGAAGATTAGGAGGCCAAAGTTCAATTCTAATGCAACTCTGTCATTGAATGGGCCTATAGATATAGCTTCCATCAGCGTCCCAAGTATGCCACTCTTAGCTCCGAAATCATTTAATACCTCTGAGGCATTTAATACCTTTGAGTCATTTACTAACTTGGACATTGGAGGGTCGATTCCTATAGCTCTCCTCCTATCTCTAATTTCTTTTTTAGGTGATCAAAGTCAATCGAACTGACATGGAGGTCGTCTAAAATTTGCCATCAACACCATATATGTTATACATTTACCTTTAAGTTCGTAATACTAACCATTCTATTCATAATATTAACCAACTTAAAAGTAAAATTAACCAATACACCAGTACCATTATCAATAATCGTCATAACTAAACCCTAATTTGTTGTAAATTTTTCCTCAAATGTTGTACTTTATCCCATTTGTGTTGTAAATTCATCCATAGAAGTTTTAAACTTAACCCACTTTTCTCGTAGGTTTACCCTTGATCATTATAAACTTACCCATAGTTGTGGTAATTTGTACCAAAATAATCGTAAATTTTCCTCTAAACTTATAAATATGTCTACAAATTTAGTACGTTTTCTCACAACAGTGGTAAATCTACCACTAATACTAATAACTTATTCATAAATGTTGTAATTCTTTCCATATATGTTGTAATATTTTTCTCAATGATATTAAATCTAACATTGTGGTGGTACAAGTTATGAATGACCTCTATCACCACATATGTCGTAAAATCGACTTTAGTGAATTCCACAAATGTTATAGATTTAGCTTTAAGTTTGTAATAATAGCCACCGTTGTCGTAATATTAACCACATTAACAACAAAATTACCCTATAAATTAGTAATTTTACCCACAAATATTATAAAATATGCAAAAAAATCATAAATTTGTCCACAATTATAGTACTATTACCCATAGACGTTATAAATAAGACCATAATTGTCCTCTAACCAATAATGTGGTAAAAATTTTGAATCGTACTAATATGACTTGTACAATCTGACAAAGTTAATTATATTGTAATATATTTTAAAATTTACGAAAAATTTCAACCACACACCTTCTAGTTAATTATATCTTCAAGGACACCTCATTTATTTTTTGAATCTTCATTGACACTCTCAATCAGATTAAAAGTCTTAATTAAAATTCAATTTTACTAAGTTGCTCATGATATATTTTAGAAAAAATTACATCCACACCCTCTCTAGATAGACATATCTTTAATAAGACTCCCTCTATTTTCTAATTTTTTTTACGCATTAAAATTCGGGTTGATTAAAATTCAGTTCGAGCTAATTAAATTTTATTTTTATTTATTAAAATTTGAGTTGATTAAAAATTATATATTTTTATGTATTAAAATTTGAGTTGATTAAAAATCTATTCGAGGCTCAAATCAAATTTTAAATTTTAATTTGCTCGATTTATACATAAAAGAATATAAATTTTAATTGAATCAAAAAATAAATTTTAATCAACTTGAATTAAATTTTAATAAATAAAAATATATACATTTTAATCGATTCGAAGCGAATTTTAATCGGGGCTAATAGTTCAAGTAGAACTCAAATTGGCTTGAGTTTTAAAACGTAAAAAAAAAAATTTAATAGGCTCAAATTTTAGTACGTAGAAAAAATAAAATTTAATTAACTCAAATTGAATTTTAATGGAAAAAAATTTAATCAGTTCAAATTTTAATATATAGAAAAATAAATTTTAATTGGCTCAGATTTTATATAAAAAAAACTATTTGGGATTTATGTAGGAGTAATTTTAGTTTTTGAGATAATTTTTTTTATTATAAACTAGTTGATGCACACGTGAACTATGTGGAGTGTGTCCTATAATAACTGTTATTAGGGAGTTCACTAAATTTGTGTTCCAGACAAATTTTTTTTTTTTTTTTTTTTGTGGTGAGTAAAATTGTATTTTATTGATAGGAAAGATTGGCATTACAACTGAGGTGGAATAGAGAACAAAATCTCATTTCGAGACAGAAGGCCATGTATTCTACTGTAAGAATATTCCAAAATAGTTCCTAAATGATCTCCAGATTTTCTGCGAATAAGAACAGTGGCAAAATAAGTCTTAAAAGCTCCATTGACATTTTTTTGTTTTTTAAAGAAGAATGACATATATCTGTACCAAATGCATCTTCAATGTTTGGCAGGCTAACGAGAGGTTTAAACTTCTAAATTGAAACATAGCATGAACTTGTTGTATTGAGGCTCTAATTTTTTTATCCAACTAATTCAACAATTGACTTAAAATCCTGGTCCTGCTAAACCTTGTAAATCTTGAACCCCCTAAGCATGAATATTTTAATTCGACTTTGCGCTTATCAGTCTTTCAACGAATCCAATTAAGGCCACAATTGACATAAGCAAGCATACAAGGTTGAAAATCTGAAAAACCATCCACTTTCTTGTCCAAGCCCTATTCTTTCTTTGCACAAAATACATTTCCCTAGGGAAATATATAGCCAAGGCCCAAAAGCCAATGGCCCCCAAAACTCCTATCACTTGGTTGAAATAGGGGAAGATCATTCCAAGTCCAATTGTCTATATAACATTTTTTTTATTTGTCGATATATCATATGCGGCTCTAAGCACATCCTAAAGATATTTAGTTGAAAAGTAGGTAGTAATGAGAGTTTGAAGGGGTAGAAGTTGTTCATAAATCCACTGTCTAGGAACTTCTCACTAAACCATCTTTCTGCAAATGCAAACACTGGTTGACTAAATATCTAAACAAATTTCATATTAGTCATGATCTTTGTGCTAATAAGGAGGCCAGTCAAACTAACTTATTTGAAGATTTGATGTGAAATTGTATAGTAGCATCTGAATGCTCCCTTGAATATCTGAGCTACGATATCAGTTGGGAAGCCACCAATGCTCCGTTGAATGTTCTCATTTTCTACCACTCGAGATACATATTATTGTGAAGCAAATTAGATTTCTCCTCCAAAATGACTTGGGGGATTTATAAAGGACCAGATTCAGGTGACTGCACTGTTTGGTACTACATAATTGACATTTTCTTTAGCTTCCCTTGAGGGAATAACCCAAAATATATTGATTAAAATGACTAAGAGTTTTAGGTTTTCATCTATTTAGAAGACTATTAAATTCACATTTTGAGAAAAAAAAATCTCCATACCAATTACTTTGGAAAAGCCCAAGTTCTAACACGATAAAAGCATAGGGAAGGACATGATTGCGGCAACAATAGACAGTCATGCCATGTTATGAAAATCTGGTATTTGAGACATTACAAGCTGAATAAGTCCAAATAGCAGCATATACATGTGATCCCCATATTCATAGTTAGCCTTGTGCCCCTCCTTGTGGTAACAATTCGATTTCTAAAATGCTTTGCATCAATTGTAGAAGCAAAATAATCATATTGATGTATGTTTCATTTATGGAATTCCAATAAAACTCAAGCAGCAGAATGTAAAGAACGGTATGTACACCCCAAGAGCAACACAATCACAATATAATAATTTATTTTGATCAAGGGACACTAATACGACAGAGAATGTGTGTGTTTTTGGGGGGAAGGGGGTTGTTGTGGTATTTAATATTGTGGTAGGTTACAATATTGTATAGTAGAAATTTGGTGGGAGCCAACACCTCATCTTGTAAGCAAAAAACTATATGAGCTAGGGGATTCAACAAGAGAAATACCTCATGCAAGTTGAAGTAGTAATTACATAAGCAATACCAACCCCATAAAAGCTACAATACTGAAGAAAACCACAGAACCATGAGTGTTTCCTACCTGGACCATCAGTTAAGAAAGTCAAAAGGCATATTGAATAGACCAAATCATCATGAGAAAAAAAGTCCCAAATTGAATATTACACAGAATTTCTGACAGTGGAATGTCACAAAGGAGGAAGATATATGGGTCTGTTACTACCAATAATAACTCTAATAGCATCCATGTAAGAGGAGTTTTGTGTTCCAATCACAAGGTGAGGTGACCTGTTACAGTCTGATATGAGGGACGTCGATATGTAGGTGACAACTACAAAACACAACAAAGCAACTGGTCCAGCAATCCAACCTAGTTGTGCAGTGCTTGATGTGAGAGAGAGAAGACACCTGCTCCAATCATGGCGGTGATGATATGAGCAATACTGGTCCAAATAGTTCCTGGTGAAGAAATATTAACAAATTAGGGCCATTATTTTTATTATTGAATTTCCAAGTAGAATTAAAAATAACGGAACAGAGGAATTAATTTGATCTTGGAAATGGTTTACCAGTTCTTATGTCATGCTCATATTGAAGCTTATCATCTTCCAACATAACCATTTTCCAATTCGAGAGACTCCTAGACAACCATGTCTTGCTAGAATAGAATGAATGAAGTTTATTACTTCTATAATTCTGCATATAAAGGGATGGCATAAGGTCAATATCTTCTATATATATAGATAGAGATAGCCTCAGAAAATGTGAATAAGGTCATTATAAGAATAGATCACACACATGAACACGTATTTGAGCAAAGTGCAAAAAAAAATTAAATTACCTTAGAATTGGAAGGGATGCAATGAGCAATGACTTCTTTGTAGCCTCTATTGCATCCATCTACTAAGCCTTGACTGAAACCACTTTCATGACATTGGCTAACATTAACGTGTAAGTTGTGTGAAAGAAAAAAAAAGAAAATGATTAACCCTAATTAATATGTAAATTAATATAATTAAATAAGTTAATTTTGTAAGATAAAATAGTTAAAAATTGTAAATTAGGGTTTGTGCGTAAACTAGGGTTTATGTGTGTAATGTTTAAAATTTTTAGGGTTTTTGTGCGAAATTGCCAGAAATTGTGAGGAGCATTCTATTAAAGCTTGAAACAACAAGGGATGCAGGTGTAATTAAAGAATGGAACAAACAAGAATTCAGTGGAACCACTACCATAATTCCAGCAAACCAGCACCGTTCGAACGATGGTGGTGGCGTCCGGACGGTTGCTTTAAGCGGTTCATCATTATCTTCCACCTCTAACTTCACCTTTTGCCTATAAATAGGCCTTTGCAACCTTCTTCAACAAGGAGTTAGAGAGAGGAGGTTCAAGGGAGCACCAGAGAGAATTCAAAGGGGAGACAAAGAAAAGTAAAAAAGAGAAAACAAGAGAGAAAGGAAGAAATCCAGAGTGAAACATTGCTCAACCTACTCTCCAGCCAGAATTCTGTATTTCTACATTTTTGTTATATCTTTTTACTTGGAGAGTTGAACTTCCGCCACCTTTGTGTCTTAATTGCTATTAAGGGTTGTTGTATTTCAATTATTCATTGGGAAAGGAGTGTCAGTTTCTGTATTTTATTTAGTATTATAATGAAAATTAGCCACACTTCTTGCTTGTTTACAACAATAGAGTATGAATAGTTTACTTATACCCTTCAGTGAGGGGTGAACATATGTATATTATTGGTTAAATTATGGAAATGCCGATGTTTAATTATGTTATATTGTTATATATACCTCCCTTAATTGATGGATAATTATATTTATAATATACTCATGGTTATGAACACCGAGTGGTACTTAATATTCTATACCATACTATCTACTATTATGTACTTCATGCATAATACAATGATGCACATAATTGAGTGTTACGTAAAAGTCGATTAATTGGTTGTAGACAGGTTAAGTTTCGGCATATCCAATACTTTCAATTCAATATATAGCCCGGAATTATGTCATCAATGAATCATCAACCTACCGGTGAAATATCTAAAGTGTTCCATTTGAATGACTTGACCTTCTGGTGCACTGAGGATATTTAACTGTTACATGGTACAAAGTTGTCAGATGAATAACCGAAGTGATCATCTTGAATGACTTGACCTTTTGATTTACTAGGGTTGTTTAACTGATACATGATATAAAGTTGTCAGATGAATAACCTAAGTGATCCTCCTGAATAGCTTGACCTTCTGGATTGCTAGGGTTGTTTAATTGATACATGATATAATGTTGTCAATTGAGTAATTCAAGTGATCCTCTAGAATGACTTGATCTTCTGGTTTACTTGGATTAGTTAATTGTCATATATACCACCAGCTAACCTAAATAGTTGTTGTGTTATGGTTTAATATACATCAGACCTACTAGTTGACTTTTCAGTGATCTAGAAGTTAATTGTTGTAAGGTAACATTTCTAGTACTAACCAATATAAAACATATTAGATCCTTAAACTGAAAGTTACCTTTAATATTATTGTCTTCTAACAATTTACTTACATATTTGAGTTACGCAGACTAGTTATCAATCTAAGCTCACATCACAAGTTATCTTATGTTACACTGCTTTAACAATATCTTCACTGTTCTTATTTTAAATTCTAATTATTAAAACTCTTCGTGGAATCGATCTTGGACTTTACCGAGAAAACTACAATTTGACTATTTATACTTCGGTGTATGATATAAAACATGTCACTAAACAGGTCGAATTAGCAACCCAAAAATAAAAAACCATGCAAATGCTTTCATAAAACCACAAAAGCAACATAAAACAAATTTTGCTAACTATGCATTAGACAAAAGTAATAAACATAGGGTTCGTTTGGTAGACATATTATGAGGAGATTAAATATTAGATTGTATTATTTTTTATTTAATCGGACCTAATACTTTGTTTGGTAAGTAAATTTGACACCGTATTAATTTCAAGAACGTATACTTATCGTATTTTTATCGTATATTTTTTATACGTTATACCTGTATTATGGAAGTATTTTAATACCACAAAAAGATGTGATATTATAATCCAACTCAAACGTATTATTTTGCACATTTACCATTATAACCATCTAACTGATAAAATCAAACTGTCATCAATGTAACAAACACTGATTGAGGGTATTTTTGTTAATTCAACATTAATATGATAAAATAATTCCTTAACCAAACAACCGATTGGATTAAATAATTACTATCCAACGTTTATGTTGTGTATTACCAAACACTAGATAAAATTATGTATTATTTTAACACCATATTTAGTTTTGTCTTTTGTCATTCTGTACGGTATTTGACTAAATTATTTTATTTAATCCATCAATTTCTAATACGGTAACCAAACGAGCCCAAAGTTTTCAAGAGTAAATCCTTACTTCCCAGCCACACACAAATAATCAATTTTTTTTTTCTTTTCAGAATCTGGAACATAAAAGAGATTAGAATATAGAAGGCATACCTCATATGTTTTCCTTTATGCAATGAACGCATTTTAAGATGAGCTTTTTGGCTGCTTGAATACTAAAATACAAGTAATCACATTGTTAATATATGGCTTTATTATTGATCAAATAAATAAATGACTTTATTTTCTATAAGAAATTCTCACGTATCCATTAATTACTATGATAATATGCTATTCTCCTTGATGTAATGACTGTTAATTTAATTTAAGTGGATAATCTTAGAAACGGTAAGTGGGCAATGAAAGAGACAAAGTAGACAGAGTGGATTAATGCACAATAGAGTTACTACACACTGTGAATAATTAAATGTGAAATCGGTTTGGACAGTGAATCATATGAAGAGTCCCTCAAATGTTCAAGTGACGTGAGATAAATAAATACATAAGATATGATTGTCTTTATTTTGTTTTTGAAGGGTAAAATAAGTATTTAAAAGTTTTTTTTATCATTTAATAATAGAAAGCAGTGATTAAATACAAATTAAAAAAAATATTAGAGATATTTTTGATAATAGAGGGTATTGGGTATAGGACAGTCATTGTATGCTACCGAAAAATCAAACGGAGCTATAGTCGAGGTTCTTCTTCTATCAATTTGTCACCGGCAAAGAAAACAAGAATCGCTGCCTGCCTGTGCTCCTCTCCGCCCACTGCCGGTCAATTTTTTGGTGAGTCCCACTAGCTGTTAACGCCTGCTCTTTCACCCTTCTATTTTCGGAAAGATTTGAATGGAAGCCCAATAGAAAACGTGTGAAAATGTGTCTTTCACATTATCTGAGAAAAACCCCTAGAAATGGCCGACAACTATTCCACTGCTCCATCGCCGCCGCCACTCATCCACTATGCTTTGTCGATCACAACAGAAAAAGCTCCACCACACCACAACAAGGAGGCCTTGGCTTTCATCGGCAGAAGCAAGTCCAAACTGTCAATAACGGTAGCTCATTGCTAGTGTCTCGTTTGTTTATTTTGCCACACCCCTTCTCCACTTCACTTTGTCCTCTTGCAGCGTCCCTCAAAAACCCCAGTTTCTATAAGATAAACCCAAATTCTTTGTACTACATAAATTATTTTAGCCGGTTTTCTACAGATGGGTGCTCAGATTCTGATGGTGATGATGCTGTTGAGGAGAGTAGGAGTGAAAAGGGTAAGTCACAGGCTGATCCTAAAGAGGTTGATAGGGTGTGTAAAGTGATGCATGAATTGTTTGCATTGGATCATCGGAATATGGAGGCAGTTTTAGATGAATGTGGACTGGAATTAACCCATGATTTGGTTGTGGACGTGTTGGACAGGTTTAAAAATGCCAGGAAGCTAGCTTTTCGGTTCTTCAATTGGGTTGGGCAAAGGCCTGGGTTTGCTCATGATTCGAGAACCTATAATTCAATGATGAATATACTTGGAAAGACTAGGCAGTTTGAGTCCATGGTGTCATTGCTTGAAGAAATTGGTGAGAAGGGGCTCTTAGTAATGGAGACTTTTGAGATTGCGATTAAGGTGTTTGCTGCCGCACAAGAGAGAAAAAAGGCGGTTGGAATTTTTGAGTTGATGAGGAAGTATAAGTTTAAAGTAGGGGTTGAGACTATTAATTGTCTTCTTGATGCTCTTGGGAGGGCAAAGCTTGGGAAAGAAGCTCACCTTTTGTTTGACAAGTTGAGGGAGAGATTTACCCCAAATTTAAGGACATACACTGTTTTACTCAACGGGTGCTGTAGGGTGAAGAATTTGATGGAGGCCGGGAAGGTCTGGAATGAGATGATTGACAAGGGTTTTAAGCCTGATATTATTGCCCATAATACGATGCTGGAGGGGTTGTTAAAGGGTAAGAAGAGGTCTGACGCCATTAAATTGTTTGAGGTCATGAAGGCAAAGGGTCCATCTCCTACTGTTCGAAGCTATACAATCCTGATTAGGGATTTATGCAAGCAAGGAAAGATGAAAGAAGCGGTTGAGTATTTTGAGGAAATGCTTGATTCTGGATGCAAGCCGGATGCTGCTGTTTATACATGTCTTATGACAGGGTTTGGGAATCAAAAGAAGATGGACAAAGTCTATGCATTGTTAAAGGAGATGAAAGAGAAAGGATACCTGCCTGA